ATAGGAATGAGCATTTTAAGAATACTCAGTAGGCTACACAATTTATATGGACAAAATAATAATGCATGTAAACATGTATTCTTACATATTGACTTCGTTAATAATTAAATCGATTATTGAATGTTCTACTAAGGGTCTGATGAGCCTCTATGACCATCAGCTAATCATTTAAAATTGAAGTTCTGATGAGCATATAACTTTTCTGTCATTTACATTCAAAGAAAAATCATTAAGAAGCTTTACGTACTTTCACAAGAAAGTATAAAAATAACATGGATAAATTAAAGTTTAATCCATATAAGAATCACTTAGAGTACAAATCCTACCTTAGTTCTAAGGATCTAGCGATGACTATTGATAAGTGCATTTTATACACTTGTTCGAGGCCTTAAAATGATAATATTTAGTGTTTCTCTGATAAATTATGGTCTAAATTGTTGCAATTGATGTTGAATAGGTAAAATTCAATATTGGTACTAGAAAGTGGAAGAAACGTGAGGAAAACCCGGAAAAAGAGCAAAATCCAAAAGTTGGGGACCAAGTTGTAACAATTCAATAGTTGATCCGGACCATGAATCGAAGATTGAAATTTTTGGAGGTCAAATTGAATATTTTGGAAGGTTAAGGATTTGAATTGAATCAAATAAGACATGGGTTGCAAGAATAAAAGGGCTCAAGGATTGAATTGCATTATCTTGAAAGGTGGAGGACTTAAAGAATAATTTAAGTAATAATGGCTTAAATTGGTGGTTGATTGGACATCTACATACATTCATGAATTTTAATTCTTATTAGAGTGGCTGCAGGCCGGTTGGCAGAAAGAATTAGAGTCCTTTTTTAGAGTCGTTTTTTCTTAGTCAACAATTGTTGCTCTAGGTTTTGATATATATATATATATATATACCAACGCGAGGAAATCGACAGTTTTTTGGAGGAGCAACCAATATCATAGAATACACGCACGAAAATCGAAGCTAGAAAAAAAATCCATTTTTCTTTAGTCAAATTTGGTGGCTATAAAATATTTTCTTGAGAGATATACACATACAAACAGAAATTGAGGCTGCCAAAATTTCAAAGACACGCATGTTGGGAATTTCTTTTCTGCCATTAATATTTACACCCATAAAAATCGAGAGAGAGAGAGAGAGAGGAGATTGACACAGACAGTAACACGAGAAAAAAGGCAGATTTACTTCGCAAATTATTCACGTTCCGTCAATTAATCGGGTGATGAATTTCTTGATAATATCTTGTTTTTCCTCCATTAATATGCGTAGCTAAATTTAATTTTAGGGCGAACGATGTAATCTATTTGGAACCTTTATTTTTTTTTATTTGAGATTCTCGTTCTTTTATATTTTATGTGTGTATTTTAATTAAGTTTTTAATACTTTGAATTTTCTGGCAAATCATTCAATGATTTTGTGAACAATAATTACGTAGAAATGCGGATTCTTGTTTAGACCACATATTAAAATATGGTAAATTAATATAAAGTATAGAGATATCTATATTAATTACTACGGTCCTATAGAAATTCTTAGAACTGTTATTTCGCTTAATTAAATTTAGAAATATGGAATTGAACTGATTAAATAAGCTCGACAAAAACCCGAGAGGAGTAAGTTGAATACAATAGAAGAATTCGATCAAACACTACTTTAGTTTTATGAATCTCGATATGAGAAATAAAGGTGACCAATAGGTAAATTTGTTTCGTCCTAATCTCCATTTACTGTATTCACGAAATTTTTAGTAGTTAGTCAATCATTTTTTTTATTTCTTTATTTTCGTCAAATAGAAGTTAGGAATAATAAATTGAGTACTAAAATATGATTTTCGTGGGAACGATAATCCGGATTCAAAAGGTCCACTTTACTACTTGTTACGATTCGTCCACTTGCGGGATAAAATTGACAACAACTATCTCATTGCTATTTTCTTTCAAATCTTCAATGTGAAATGGTCTCTCACCAATTATTATTATTATTATTATTATTATTATTATTATTATTATTATTATTATTATTATTATTATTATTATTATTATCATCATCATTTTTTTTTTTGAGAGTCTGGTGGAGTGAACAAGGTGGTATATTGAAGCAATATCATGTGGAACAAAAGAAAAGGAAACATGACCGCGTCTTTCTGGATTAGGTGCTGAAGTGAATTGGCCTCCCAGAAAAAAAGTTTATCAATCTCATTAGTGAGAATTGATTGTTTCCTTGATGGTGGTGAATTTTTATTTTTATTTTTTAATGGTCCCAATTATGGGATAAATTCACGAAATTTAAGTTGTAATTGTGGTGATTGGCTTTGCACAAAATTTGAATGTAACATAATACTAATAAAAAAATGTCTAAATTTTTAATCAATATATTAGTTTATTATATCTAATGACACATGATGGCCAAAATTGTGAACATGCCTGATTAATAATTTTCTGGCAAATTATTCAATGATTTTGTGAACAATAATTACGTAGAGATGCGGATTCTTGTTTAGACGACATATTAAAATTCGGTAAATTAATATAACGTATAGAGATATCTATATTAATTACTGCGGTCCTATATAAATTCTTAGAACTGTTATTTCGCTTAATTAAATTTAATTTGCATAGAGATATGGAATTGAACTGATTAAATAGGCTCAACAAGAACTCAAGAGGGGTAAGTTGAATACAATAGAAGAATTCGACCGAACACTGCTTTTGTTTTATGAATCTCGATATTAGAAATAAAGGTGACCAATACGTGAATTTGTTCCGACCTAATCTCCATTTATTGTATTCAAGAAATTTTTAATAGTTAGATTTAAAAATCACATTCAATCATTTTTTTATTTCTTTATTTTCATCAAATAGAAGTTAGGAATAATAAATTGAGTACTAAAATATAGTCCTCGTGGGAACGATAATCCGGACTCAAAAGGTCCACTTTACTACTTGTTACGATCCGTCTACTTGCGGGATTAAATTGACAACAACTATCTCATTGCTATTTTCTTTCAAATCTTCAATGTGAAATGGTCTCTCACCAATTATTATTATTATTATTATTATTATTATTATTATTATTATTATTATTATTATTATTATTATTATTATTATTATTATCATTTTTTTTTTTGAGAGTCTGGTGGAGTGAACAAGGTGGTATATTGAAGCAATATCATGTGGAACAAAAGAAAAGGAAACATGACCGCGTCTTTCTAGATTAGGTGATGAAGTGAATTGGCCTCCCAGAAAAAAAGTTTATCAATCTCATTAGTGAGAATTGATTGTTTCCTTGATGGTGGTGAATTTTTATTTTTATTTTTTAATGGTCCCAATTATGGGATAAATTCACGAAATTTAAGTTGTAATTGTGGTGATTGGCTTTGCACAAAATTTGAATGTAACATAATACTAATTAAAAATGTCTAAATTTTTAATCAATATATTAGTTTATTATATCTAATGACACATGATGGCCAAAATTGTGAACATGCTTGATTAATAATTTTCTGGCAAATTATTCAATGATTTTGTGAACAATAATTACGTAGAGATGCGGATTCTTGTTTAGACGACATATTAAAATTCGGTAAATTAATATAACGTATAGAGATATCTATATTAATTACTGCGGTCCTATAGAAATTCTTAGAACTGTTATTTCGCTTAATTAAATTTAATTTGCATAGAGATATGGAATTGAACTGATTAAATAGGCTCAACAAGAACTCGAGAGGGGTAAGTTGAATACAATAGAAGAATTCGACCGAACACTGCTTTTGTTTTATGAATCTCGATATTAGAAATAAAGGTGACCAATACGTGAATTTGTTCCGACCTAATCTCCATTTATTGTATTCAATAAATTTTTAATAGTTAGATTTAAAAATCACATTCAATCATTTTTTTATTTCTTTATTTTCATCAAATAGAAGTTAGGAATAATAAATTCAGTACTAAAATATAGTTCTCGTGGGAACGATAATCCGGACTCAAAAGGTTCTCTTTATTACTTGTTACGATCCGTCCACTTGCGGGATAAAATTGACAACAACTATCTCATTGTTATTTTCTTTCAAATCTTGAATGTGAAATGGTCTCTTACCAATTATTATTATTATTATTATTATTATTATTATTATTATTATTAGAGTCTGGTGGAGTGAACAAGGTGGTATATTGAAGCAATATCATGTGGAACAAAAGAAAAGGAAACATGACTGCGTCTTTCTGGATTAGGTGCTGAAGTGAATTGGCCTCCCAGAAAAAAAGTTTTATCAATCTCATTAGTGAGAATTGATTGTTTCCTTGATGGTGGTGAATTTTTGTTTTTATTTTTTATTTTTTTATGGTCCCATTTATGGGATAAATTCACGAAATTTAAGTTGTAATTGTGGTGATTGGCTTTGCACAAAATTTGAATGTAACATAATACTAATTAAAAATGTCTAAATTTTTAAATCAATATATTAGTTTATTATATCTAATGACACATGATGGCCAAAACTGTGAACATGCCTGATTAATATATTTTTTTATATTATTCAAATATGTATTTCTTTGAGCAACAAAAACACGATCCTAACTTGTCCCAAATAAATTTTTTTTCGAGCCTAAAATTCGCCAATTAATATGGACTTTGAAACTAGTCTAATTTTGATGGGGAAATTCTTGTTAAAAGAATGCTTGATTATTCTGCCGTATAAAATGACTACATCGAAACATATTTTAATAACAATCCCTCAACATCCAAATATAACGGAATGTACCAAAATGAATTAAAGTAAATAAAATTTTTTTTTTTGATTCCTACAAAACCTCCCCACTTAAAATCATCTCGAAATTTAACTTTCTTGGTTAAGGAGATTTGGTTACTTGGCTAAAACATCCGCTTCTCTCTTCCAAGTAGCCTCATCTTTTCCATGCTTACCCCACTGGACTTTGCCTAATGGCACTTCACGATTTCTCAAAATGTGCACCTTTCTCTCTAAAATCATTACGGTGCTTCTTCGTAAGTCATATCTTTCTTCACATCTAATGATTGAACGTTAACCATGTGAGTTGGATCGTGAATGTATTTCCTCAACGTGGAAATATTAAATACGTCATCTATTGCCGATAGTTCAGGTGGCAATGCCAAACGATAAGCCACATTTCCAATCTTCTCGAGGATTTCATATGGGCTAAAAAATCTTGGTTTCAACTTCCCTCTCTTTGCAAATCGTAGTATTCCTTTTGTCGGGGCAACCTTGAGAAATACTTTCTCTCCGACTTCAAATTCTAGTTCTTTTTTTCTCTTATTTGCATAACTCTTTTGGCAATCTTGAGTTATCTTAATCCTCATTCTGATCTTGTCAATAGCCTCCACAGTCTTCTCAATAAATTCTGGACCTAAAATCCTCTTCTCGCCAACCTCATCCCAACATATCGGTGAACGACATCTTTGTCTATACAATGCCTCATACTTTTCCATGTTAATAGTAGCTTGATAACTATTATTATATGCAAATTCAACCAACGGCATAAATTTTTCCCATTTACCACCAAAGTAGTATACAGGCCCTCAACATATCTTCTAGCACTTGGATAGTTCATTCTGACTGTCCATTGGTCTGAGGATTATATGTAGTACTGAAAGACAATTTTGTTCCCATAGATATCTGAAGACTTCTCCAAAATTTTGAGGTGAATCTTGGGTCCTTATCTGACATGATGGACGTTGGTATCCTATGATGTCGAATGATTTCTTTGACACATATTTGTGCAAACTGTTCTAGACTAAAAGACATACAAATTTGCAGAAAGAGGGCAGATTTTGTAAGTCGGTCCAATATGACCCAAATGGCATCATGACCTTTCACTGACCTAGGAAAACCCATTACAAAATCCATAGAAATCTTCTCCCACTTCCATTCTGGTATGTCCATTGGATTTAATAGTCCTAATGGTCTCTTATGCTTTGCTTTCACCTACTGACAAACTATACACGTCGATACTAATAAAGCTATTTTTCTTTTCATATTCCTCTATCAAAAGGTATTATGTAACTCTCTGTACATTTTTGTGGAGCTTGGGTGTGTAGCATAAGGAGTGGAATGAACCTCAGTCATGGTCTCTCTTCTTAGTTCTTCATCATTAAGTACACACAGTCGGCCTTTAAACATAAGTGCCTTATCATTGTTTATCTCAAATCCGTTCCCTTTCTCAGTTCTAACATCAGCCCAAATCCTTTCCAGGAAATGGTCATCTTTTTGTGCCGCTATAATCTTGTCCTTAAGATTTGATTTTAGAACCAAATTGTTAGCTTCCCTTGATGCTTGAGCTACTGTTGTTAATACTTCTATTCTCAAATTTTTGAAGTCCTTGATTTACTGGCTCTGTTGTTTACATAGCGCTGATAAATGCCCCAAATTTTTTCTACTTAGAGCATCTGTTACTACATTAGCTTTACTTGGGTGGTAAAGGATGGTACAATCATAGTCTTGTACTAATTCCAACCATCGTCGTTGTCTCATATTTAATTCTTTCTGGGTAAATAAGTACTAAAGGCTATTATGGTCACTATAAATGTCATACTTTCTTCCATACAGGTAATGACGCCAAATCTTGAGAGTGTGAACTAGCTACAAGTTCTAAATCATGTGTCGGATAATTTTTCCCATGCTGTCTTAATTTTCTTGATGCATAGGCTATCACCCTTCCACGTTGCATCAAGACACAACCCAAACCTAGTTTAGATGCATCACTATAGATAACAAATCCCTTTGATTCCTCTGGGATTGCTAACACTGGAGCGGATAGTAGTCTACTCTTCAATTCTTAGAAGCTCTGTTCACACTTTTTGGGCCATCCAAACTTCACGCCCTTTCAAGTTAGTTATGTCAAGGGACCTGCTATTGTAGAGATACCTTCTATAAATCATCGATAGTATCCAGCCAGACCAAGAAAGCTTCTCATGGCTCCAACACTCGTAAGTCCTTTCCAATTAGGAACAACTTTAACCTTACTTGGGTGTACTTCTATACCCTCAATTGACACAATTGTCCTAAAAATCTTATTTGATCAGCCAAAATTCGTACTTCTTGAACTTGGCGTATAATTTTTCTTTGGGTAAAGTTCCCGAAATTGTCCTCAAATGACTTTCATGTTGCCGAGCGAATACACTAGTATGTCATCAATAAACACAATAACAAATGTGTCCAGGTACTGATAAAATACTCTATTCATTAAACCCATAAATCTGCAGGGACATTAGTATGTCCAAATGGTACAACTCTAAACCCGTAATGTCCATAGTGAGTTCTAAATACTGTCTTAGGTGTATCACTCAGCTTGATCTAGAAAATACAGTTTCACCATTTAATTGATTAAATAAGTTGTCAATTCTAGGGAGAGGATACCTATTCTTGATATTGAGCTTGTTCAATTCTCAATAGTCAATACATATTCTTATCGTTCCATCATTCTTCTTTACAAAAAGTACCGAAGCTCCCCTTGAAAACACACTAGGTCTAAAACAACCTTTTCTAGAAGTTCCTCTAGGTATATCTTTAACTCTTGTATTTCTTTTGGTGCCATCCAATATGGAGCCTTAGACACTGGCGCGACCCTAGGTATTAAACCTATGGTAAACTCTAGTTTTTAGTCAATTGGGGCACCTAGTAAGTCAACCAAAAACACGTCAGTGTATTATCCAGTGTTAACTCTCTTGATGACATGCCACAAGGCTAACAAGATATCCTCAACAAGTTTTCTTCCATGATAATCTCTTCGCCTGCATAACCGACATTAGGGGGGAAGTGTCTTAATCTTGGAACCATAAAATCTAAACTCTTCTTCTCCAAATCTTTTGAAGATCACCTCATTCTCGAAGCATGCAATTGTAGCTCTATTGCTACCTAACCCGTTCATGCCCAAATTAATGTCAAAATTTTTTAATTCTATGACATGTAAATTTGCCTCAAAGATTAACTCATCAAAATCTATTTGCCCTGCCTTAGCAATCTTATCTATAGCTATGATTCCTCTTGATGGCATACAAGCTTCTAGTATACTATTAGTTTTCTCACATGAAACATTGATCTTTGCTAGACATGCCACAGATATAAATAAATGTGTCACACCAAAATCAATAAGGATGTAAACAAGGGTAAAATGCCTGTGATTACGTCAAAATTCTTGGCAGCTTCATCATGTGTTATGGAATATTTTTCACCTTCCCTTTATTCACCTGTTCAGCGTCCTTAGTTGGTATTGCACGACATCCAGAAACATAGTGACCAGACTGGCCATACTTGTAACAGACATTCTTGCCAAATAAACATTTACCCTTACGAGATCTCTTGCACTTAGGGTAGAGAGGGAAAGTATTGTCTAATTGTCCACTAGTAGGCCTATTATTTTGTTTCTTGATCTATCTAGAGTTCTTATCCTTACCCTGATCATGCCACTTCCTTTTTCTGGCATCGTTTTGTAGTCCCTGACTTCAAAGTTTAGGACTTGAGAACGATACAGTTTGGGCCGTCTTTACAACTTCTCGATAAATGGCGAGTTCATGTGAATTCACTATCAACCTGATCTCAGGACGTAGTCCCTTCTCAAATCGTTTTGCTTTCATGAACTCTGTATTCACAAGATGTGGGGCATAACCAGATAACTCCTCAAACTTCCTCTCATAATCAATGATGTCCATGTCTCCTTGCATCAGTAGTAAAAACTCCGCCTCTCTATGGACACAAAGGGCTTGTGGAAAATATTTCTTAGTCAACTTCTCTTTAAATTGAGTCCATGTCAATTACGTTGTTCTTCTTTTGTTGGGGTACGTGATGCGGACTCCCACCAATGGCTGGCTCCTCCGACGAGCATGAATTTTGCACACAATACTTTCTGATTTTCTGGGCAATATATGTGTCAAAAGATCTTCTCAATTGTGCAAAGTGACTCTTCTGCAGCCAAAAGGTCCTTGCCGCCACGAAGCTTGGAGGGCGGTATCAATGAAACTACCCAATGATTGGCATATTTGAAGTAGTGGTTGGTGCTGTAGTAGTGGGTGATATAGGAGTGGTTTATGTTGTAATAGATGACGTTATCGGTGTGTCTTGCCCTTTCGGTGCCATTCGTGCCATTAGAGTAGCTTGTACCATTAAGACTCGTCTCATTTCTTCCATTACTCGTTGTAATGGTGCCATTTTTCTTCATACAATTGGAATGGGTTTGAAAACTTTAGAAAAATCACACTAATCACACATTATATAATGAATGGGGAATCCATCATTAGAAGATAACATATTTAATTATTAGCTAAATCCTTCATGGAGGAAACAATCTATGAAAGAATGTTTAGTGCTACTTGACTGAAAAGTAAACAAGAAACCCTACTTGACTTCAAGGTGATGATAAACTAAGTAAATCTACTAAAATCCATGCCTCTACTCCTTGCCATGGTCATCATTACTCCATCCTCCATGAATTCTAGTTTTCTTAGAAGGTAGTGACTCATCTTCTGAAATAGGTGGAGGTGCATTCTCAGGAATGCATATATCAGTAGGTACTCTATCACCCTCGAGGTATGCAGGTGCATCATCTTGGGCTTGCTCCCATAGTGTCATTAACTCTTTGCAGAAAGCCTCATAGTCAATCTCCCGAGGTAAGGTGGGTGTGGCAACTTCTCATAAATAATTATAAATTTATTCGGTCATCTCTAACCATTCTTCGGGCTGGGTATCAATATGGAGACGGGTGGCTGGACGACCAGTGACCATGTGGCCAAGTTTTCTCACGTCCCTCCACCTTCCTAACATCTCCCTAATGTGTTGGCCCATATCATGCACTGGATTCCACTGATATTCTTCATACTGCCTCACGATTTCATTTTGACAAGGCATAAATGTACACATCTTCCTACATGTCCTCTTAGTACGTGCCATCTGTGTCAAATAAACTACATAAAGTCTATATAGGTAGGTTCCTAGCACCTTTTTCGAGGACTAACATAGACATTCGTAATTTAATCATGTTCTCAAAACTCACAAATGTCTCAATCACGTTCTCAAACTCTACTTCTGTAAATTCATGTACTTTAAATGGATACAATCACTTGTAAACATTGCAATGTTATAGCATAACAAAAATTCCTCAAAACTTTCTTTACCTTAAAGTTGGCAATTAGTGATTTATTTATTTATTTATTTTAAAATCAATAGCAACTTGAAAATAGTTTCTCCATTTATGCAGTGAGGTTACAAAAATTCTTTGATCAAGCAAACCTTGACGAAACTATATGAAAATTTACCGGATGATAACAAACCCATATAAGTACAACATATAAAAACTTGAGATCTCAACAATGTCATTTGAAGTACCAAATTGTTTTTCGAATAGGCTGGTCTGAAATCCCAGATTTAACTATCACTGCTTACAAAAAAAAAATGCTACGAAGAGTTCTACGGGACTACGATTGACTTATTTTCAATT